TCGTTGATCGGGATCAAGGTCTGGCCGTCCTTGGAGACCGGAACCAGGTAGACACCGATGAGGAGGTACCTGCCTCGACCAAGTTGATCGTCCGCCTCCTGAAAAGGTCCAGCTGTGTCTATCGACAGCGTGTACGAGTCAGGATGTGGGATCCGCTTGTGTGCACGCCCACGTGAGGCGGCGACAACACACGACTTGCATTCTCTGGAGTACGGTATATGACCGTTGAGAAGATGTTTTTTCCAGGCCAGAAGGTCCATTCGCTTGACCAAGCCTTCAGGTCGTTGGAGAGCATCTCGGATCCCCGCGACCAGTGCAGCCTTGAGACCAGGTGCCCATGCCGACCAGGTCCGACTCTGCTTAATGCGCTCCGCCAAGTCCTCCGCCAGCGCCACTCCACCCCCTGCCCCGGGTCCTCGGAGGTCCTGGAGCTCCGCCAACTTTGGGATGTTCGTTCCCAGTCGCGTGGGTTTCCTCCGAGGGTGACCCATGGGGCCTTGGTCGAAGCAGACCTCCATCATGTTCCATCGCTTCTTGAAGCTTTTCCACTCCGGCCAACTCCAGTAAGAGGCATAGCGCTGCAGCTTCTTCTCTTCTTCCCTGATGTACTCCTCGGGGTCCTCGGGCTGCTCCAAGACCGACAGGGTCACCTGGGACTTCCTTGCCGTCGCCGCTCGATGGTACAGGTAGAGCTGCCTGAGGTAGAGAATCGTATCATCCTCTACCTGCTTCTGAAGATACTTGTCCAACTGGGGCAAGCCAAACCGGTATGGGCCCTCCCTTTCCCTCAGCGGCGGGGGTCCAGGCTGTCGACATCGAAGACGGCTCATTGTTCTACATGGTGGACCTCCCAGCAACGTGCACAAGGTGCCACTGTCGGCAATGTCCAGCAAGTAGGCAAAGACATCGTCCCTCAAGAGGTTCATGGCCGGATTGATCACTGTGTCAACGCAAAGGACCACCCGGTTCTCCGCCTCGAGTTCCTTCTGCCAGAACTGCTTAGAATCCCCACTGAACAGGTGGATCACGACTTCCTTCGCCTTTCGAACTCTCCTTCGCTCGTGGCGGTTCCACGGAAGCCCTTCTCCTGTCCACCCCTTCTTCGGCAGTAGCCGCTCCAGTATGTGATGTGGTACTTGAGGAAAGAGTTCCTTCAGTTCTCCCAAGTGCCACGCTTCTTGATCGCTCACCTCCAACCCCGTCTCCTCTCCGGCCAGAAATGCCAGGCGAGCTCGTTCTCTCACCATGCTCCGCTCAATCTCCTGAATGAGCTCAATGGCCAGATCCTCACTGATCGTGGGGCAAGAGTTCTCGATCCTCGTATCCAGGGTGATCCCGGCGGGGTCCGTCAGCTCGAAACGAGTCTTTTCCCACACCGCTTCATAGCCCAGCGAGATCAGCACCCCCAGCGGCACGATGACTTGGACGTCCTCCTTAGTCAACAGGGTCTTCGTCCACGGGAGCAACCTCAGCACCACCGATCCAGCCGCCAGCTCCACATTGACCTCCTGGCCCCTTTGCCACTCTTCTTCGTTCGCTGCCCGTCTCAAGCAGTGGGTCGCCCCACCGTCCAATAAGGCCCGTCCTCCTTCACGGACTTCAAGGCTGCTCAGACGGATCGTCTTGACCGAGGTGGCCGGTCTCAGGCTCTTCAGGAGCGTGGTCGCTTCGTTCAAGAGGTCCTTGACATCTCCGGCCGTCCCCGCACCTCGATCCCCTTCATTGGGTACCCCTGAGTCACCAGCCTCACTCCCCCCAGTCTTCGCCATGGGCTCCGCAGTCTCCGCCTTCACAGGCTGTGCGTTCCTTTCCTTCACAACCTTCACCACTGGCTTCTCTGGCGTCGAACCCTTCGGCTTCATCACTGGGCAGTCTCTTTTCGCATGCCCTTGGGCTGAACATCCAAAGCATCTCCCCTTCTTCTCAATGCCAGTCCAGTCGTGCTTGAACTTGCAATCTTGTCCCCTCCGGCACCCCTCCTCAGAGCCCCAGAAGCGGCACACTTTCTCCGTCGTCTCATTCTTCACCTTGTAGGCTGAGCTCTTGTCCATTTTCTCCTCTAGGGTCGTGGCCATTGCCTTGACCTTCACCGTTGTAGGCGGCTTCACCTCCTCAACCGGCATCGGATCCCCCAGCGCCAGCGTCTCCGCCTCTGCCAACAGCGAGTCCGCAAAGCCCAACACCGATGCAAGGGTAGGCGTCACATCCACCCCCAGCGTAGCCCTCGTCGAACTCACTCGGAAGGCTGCTTGACTTGAGGCCCTCACCACCGGTGCTGACATGCGGTCCACAGCCCCCAGAAGCAGCGTGGCGTCTGGTGTAGTGATGTCCAGCTCCTGAGCCCGTCTCAAGCTGCGCCTCCAGCCTCTCAGGATCTCCAACAACTCCGTGACATTCCCAGGCGTCTTCGGCTCGACGAGGGATCTCAGCAACCTTGATCTCTCTGCCAGACCCCCGGGGTGGTATCGACGGAATAGCGCAAACATCACCTCCGTTGAGCTGGTAGTCCTGCTCGCGAGGATCTCGGACTTCACCCCGCTTGGGACGGCGTTCAGCAGCATCAGTTGTCCTCGCTGCTCCAGTCGTGCCCAACCCCCATGACGTTCAGCCAAGGCTCGAGGCTGAACATAGAGCTTCTGGACCGGCTCAGCTCTCAGCCATTCTTGGTAGGCTTCCATCGCCGACCTCATGACCTCTTCCCACCACATCCAACTGTTGGTTGAGAGGTCCTTCATGGTTGGTGACACCAGCTGAATCCAATCTCCCAAGATTAGGCTTCCCAGGTCGCCCTCCTTGAGGTCTGCCAATTGGGGTAGGTCCACCGATCGGATGTTCTCACCCATCCACGACGACCCTTCGCTTCCACCTTGTCCCAACTGCCTCAACACCGTATGAGCAGCCTGCTCCAGCGGTGAACCGGCCTGATGGGCCCTGCTGTGGTGATACTCTGCACCTGGTTCCATCCCCTGATCGCCACGTCGTTGGCCTCCCGGATGTAGTCCTTTCCCATGAACTTCCCAAGAATCGGGCACTTGTGGTACTCCCGAACGAGGATCTTGTCCCGGCCAGATGGACCAATTCTCCCCTCTTGGTCCTGGAGTCCTCGGAGTGGCCCCAACCGGAAACTCAGGCAACCTTCCCAAGTCGACCCATGCCTGACTCTCAAAGTGCTGTTCCGGAGTCTTCGGTGGGGGTCCCTTTGGAGGTGAAGGCGGTGGTGTACTGGTAGGTGGTCTCGGGGCCGAGTTCTTCACCTCCTGATTCTCCTTCAACTCCACCCTCTTCTTCAACTCGTTGAGCTCCTTCTTCAGGGATGCATTCTGAGTGAGGACTGCCCTGAGCACCTCCTGGACATCCACAAAGGTTCCTTGGCCGCCTTCCTCAGGCTCCACCCGACCGGCCGCTCCAAGCTCCTCAGTAGGTCCCAGAGATGCCGGCCTCATCGCTCTCAGAAGGGCCTCGCTCTGCATCCGCTCCGACCAGAACGGGTTGACTTGGACCACTGGCTGTCCTGAGCTCTGTCCCTTCCCATCCTTGATCGCCCTTCTCGTTGGCCCATACGTCACCGGAGGTCCTGAGGCTGATGCCGACCCTCTCAGCGCCACCGCGTCCTTTGCGTCCTCGATGGCCAGCTGCTCAGCTTCCTCCTCAGCGCTTTGCATGCCCCCGCCGCTGCCTCCGCTGCCCTCTGGCGTCCCAGCGCCCGCGGCTGCCGCCTTCGCCGCAGCCTTCGTCGCCGCCGTCGGCTTGGCTCCCGCAGCCGGCATGGGGACCAACACTGTGCCACCCTCGCGGTGGTCACAGGTGGACTTCGGCCGAACAAAGATTTGGGCTCATAACCCGCGTGTCCTGCAGCGGACTTTTTCTGCTCCAAAAAAAAGGCTCCGGTAAAGTATGCGATCCGACATGGTACACACTCGATTTGTGCACCGAAGCCTAGCAAACTTGGTACACTTCTCATGTACCTCAAACCTCAATTGGTGCACCTGCACAGATAACCCCCCTTGTGCCAGATTTAAAGTGCTCCTCCCCTGGCAACCGAACCTAAAAGGTGCTGAGACTGCATCCAAAAAACGGCTTAGTAGTCCTAGAACCTAAATGATCTTTATGGTCTTTTCCTATCAAAACAGGGTCAAATGGGTTCCAGGATTAGCTTAGTCGCCCAATTCATCGAGTTTTCGGGATCGATTCGGCTAGACCAGGCTCCGCACCGTAGAGCTCCGTGGTAGGCTCGATGCCCTGCCCAACTTGTGGTCAAGTCTCCATGCTCCAAATGAACAGTTGGGTGCCTTCTTGTCAAACATAAAATGAGTGAGCATGAAATTGATATAGCCCTTTTGTACTCCCTTTTGTTTGTTCCCAAAATTAAAAGCACATCCAAAATGGAAAACGCGCGAGTTGTGACCAACGTCTTTCCCCTCAAAAGCACACCCGTCTGGCGAGCGTGGAGGTGTCCACTTCTCGTCTTCGTCGGGCGGTTGTTCAACCCGGGTGGATCGGGGAGCAAAGCAGCATGAAATAGCCACGTATACATCATCATGCCTTGTTCCATCGTCGCTGTCTGAGGAACAGTCTAATTCTGTCGTCATATAGATGTCTATAGGAAATCCTTTCTCTGCGATACAATTTCAGCTTTGACCAAAAGAAAGCCCGTGACCTTGGGCACAATTGGGCGGATATCAGGATGTATGTGTTTTGTGCAGTCCCAAGGGTGAAGGGAACATAAGACCTGTAAGCATCTGTGAAACAAGCCTGATTCACTCAAAAGCCATGCACTTCCTACCAGTCACTGTAAGAGCATGTGTAGAAGCCTTTCCGCGTGACCCATCCGCAAAAACGCCTCCTGCTTGCAGTTTTCAAGCCTCGGTGATACCCACCGAGGGCCTCTGACACCTGCTTAGGGCTGCTTGGATTGGCTACACCCGATGCGACTAAGGACCTTCCCTCATCTTCGAGCGGTTTCACTCCTTGGAGACTTCGATTGGCTGCTCCCAGTGACCTCACTCCCTTTCGCCGCAGGTCGCATAAATCAAACAGAAAAGACCGCAAGCATCTTCACCGAGCAGCAAGCTGAAGGCACGCTCCCAACAGCCCGTCATCAACACCGCATAGCTCCGTGCGGTGCGCGGCACCGAGCTGTCCTCAGCTCGGACGACTCGCGGCGATGTTTTCGGGTGGAAAAAAGAGATGGGAAGCTGAGCTGAGCTGAGGTGAGATGGTTTTTCCAACCACACCAAGCTCTGGAGTGGTATTTCTTTAAATATGTCTGTTTTACTGTAAATCCTTTCGAACCACCTCCATTCCCAAAGAACTGGTGCCCAGAACTCCATATTTTCAGCACTAGTGACCTCGGACGAGACGACGAGCCGCTTGATCCAGCGAGTGATGCTCTAGGCACCCCGGACGTACATCTCTTTCAAGAGCTCCATCTGAAGCTTGGGCTGTAGCACTTGCAGCAACGTGTTGAAGCTCACCGTGTCGGGCTGCAAAGCGTGTCGCAATGGCAGGTCTCCTTAGAGTCGGTCAAACATCCACACCGGAGTCGATTCTTCCCGGCCCCTGGCCTGTTTGCTTCAAAGCAATACCCTCCGGACGTTCCCGCCCCTCTGGTCAAACCCGGCCCGTCTAACCCAGCGCGTTCCCGTGTGAGCGCAAGCGGCGGAAGAGTTGCAAGGCTTGGCTCCATCGTTTCGCCTGTTGCAGACTGTGCAGCACCACGTTGAAACTGAAGAGCTCCGGCCTGCGACGAGACACGCGTTTTGGAGGAGAAGGAGGAGGAGGATTTGGCATTGTCTCTTTTTCAAGAGGTCGGATGGGTGAAGAATGGTGATCAAAAACTGATCGTGCCAGGTGTGGCACCAACAAGTCATTAAAAGATCAACAAAAAAGAGAGAGATCCAACCCGTCCCTGGTCGTTCGGTTCGTGAGGCTCCGCAAAAAGAAGTACAGAAAAGGAAGCAGAGTTCGACAAACGCTGACAGAAAGATACTGGAAGACATTGTGAACCTTCTTGGTTTTACCTATTTGGCAGATTTTGGCAGGCTGGACTGGAAGTGGGATGCCTTCCGTTGTTCATGTATTTCCCCAAGTGGTTGCGAAAAGCGACGTCCGTTCGCGAGTGCAAACCCCACTCAGTCGACTTCGTGGAGCGTGCCCAATCATGCTCAATCAACTCAGCCCAGATCTCAATGATTGGAAAACATTGATTGGAAGAACAAGCGTTCCTGCAGAATCATGCTCTCCTACAAACTGGATGATGAGATAATGCCAGCAGACGCAGTTGCAAAGGAAAGGCACAGGCAGCCGGCAACTTCAGCTTGGATTCAGGAGCATCAACCATTTTGAAGCTCAATCTCAAAGTTTGGCAACATTTTCCTATCAAGAACCATTTTGCCCTGCTCTTCAGATCATCCCACTTGGATGATGGGCACCGGATGGCACCTCCATGGCCACCGGTCCCGTGTTCTCCACGCCTGGTGTCCATGTTCTCCAGAATCCAAAAGGCCTGCCGAGCGCCAAGGCGAGGTAGGTTGGAGGCCATCGCTCATCGTGGGGAGACAGGTCCCGATCTCGCGATCGCGGTGGGGAGACAGGTCCCGATCCAGCTCGGCAGAATGTTCTAAGCCCCACAAGCCGCAGCAAGACCCTGCGGGTTTGAGGTGATCTTGCTGGGTCGAAAATCATGAACTCACAAATCATGTACTGACAACCTTTTTGCAATCCTTTCACTGAACAGACTCCTCCCCCAGGAAATCAGAAGCAAACGTCAGTTCAATGACGACCAAAACCGCCACGAGGTTCCCTTCTGCTGACGCTTTCACTGGGGGAATTCTCTAAAGCGACCGAACACTCCAAGCAATCCAAGTGAGCTTCGTCTCAACCGTCTCAACATGTCAACATGATTGGTGGAGTTCTCCTAGATTGGGTGAATGAACATCACCCAAAACATCTCACAATTGTTGAACCTCTGCCCAGGGTGAACCGAAAGCATTGTTTTTTTTGAGGTAGGCTGAGTGCAACCATGAGTGTCATGTGCTAAATCTCCACGGCCAGTGTAGAATAAGGAGGAAAAAGACTGACTAGCTTATAAGGTTAGTTCAAGCGACCTTTCCTTCTAATTTTCCAGGTTGGTCTGGTTAAGGAGCCTTGGTTTGCCTATTTTAACCTTGGACTTGGTATCAGGGTGCCCATCTACGGTCAGCTCTCAACAGGGTAAAGGCATAAGAGCGATGTCTGCCGAATGAGGTTTAATATGATGTCGGCAGTCTACTGTAATATGAATTGAATTAAAGGTGCAAACAAAAGAACCGCTTCGTTCGAAGAATGAACCCAAGGTGGGTCGTTGGCTGGTTCATCAGTTCCATGCGCTTGACATAGCCATAGTGCCATGGTCTGGCTGACCTACGTCTGTCTACCTCTGTCTCGTGGCGAAGGCCTCCTCCCATTGTCCAGCTTGTGCACAAGCGCTCATCCCCGCATTGAATGCATACAAATCCGGTGGCAGCTGCCTCGGACGGCAGGGTGAAACTCCAGTGCCTGAAGCAAGGCCCCAAATGGGCGTTGTCTCGGTGTATGGTGGATGAACCGAAGGAACACAATGGCCCGCTGAAAAAAATTGATCAGTCTTGGAAGATGCCAAATCCGAGCACGATTCCGACATCCTCTCTCTCTTCACCTGGGGCAAACCTGGCCGCTTGGGCATGTCTCGCAGAAGCTGAAAGGCCTCAAGCAAGGCAGGTCGATCAAACCTTTTGATCCAACATATCATATCCAATTACAAGATGCAACTCGTAGCTCTTGTTCGACTGAAGAACATCAAAAAACAAAACTGCTGTGACCGGTTTTTTGTTCGTCTTTCCCACCTCTGCCCAACAGCTTCCCATGCCATACGCACCCAACGCACAGGTACAAAGCTGACAATCAGCGTTGGCCTGGAACGGGCCGAACGGGCAGCCGAACGGACTCAAGACTTGACGAGACTCGACGGCCGGTTTTGGAGGAAGATTGGTCGGGCACGACTGACATCAACGGTCTAAAGTGCGGTCAAAAGAGGAAGCACACAAGTACAAAAAACACACGTAAAAAGGAACACGTACAATCATGAAAGAGAACATTGTAACATACTATACCCAGATAACCTTGCGTTTCTTTCCGCCAAAACTTCCATGAGTGGCATCGAAGTGTCCATGCCAGTGGAGTCTGTAGGCATGTTAAGAAATAAATGTTAAGAAGTTCCTATCTAGGCTTGCGTGTTGTGCATTCATGACGAAAGAAGTACCACCTGTGAACTGGACTTGTCGCTGCAACCATCTGCGGGTTGTGCCCAGTGGGAAACATAATGTGGGAGAAACTGGTTTGAGTCATAGCATGCCATAGCCATTGAAGTATCAAATTTGATTGAATATCTTGGGAGACACTGCGACTTCGGCGGCAGGGTGCCACTGCGTCCCTGTACAAGCTTGGAGGGGCTTCCATAGATCCACCAAAAGCAGCATCAAAACCCTTCTTCTAAACAACACCATTCCACAAATTCTCCTCAGTTGCCTTCCTCACCTGCCTTCAGGACTCCCCAAATGGCGCGCCAGCCAAAAAAGGGGCCCCTCGCAATCTGCACGCAACATGGCCAGAGAAAATGCACAGTGCACCCGTCATCTCCCCAACGGCACTCTCCGTTGTGCTTGAGAGTGGAGTGTCTCGCCTCCGCCTCTAAGAGCCGCAACCTACTAGCGATGCCCTCCAACCTAAGAGCGATCGCCTCCAACCTATAGAAGCGATGGCCTCCAACCTATATATAGAAGCGATGGCCTCCAACCTAGTAGCGAGGGCCTCCAACCTAACAGCGATCGCCTTCATCCTAATAGCGATGGCCTCCAAGCTACTAGTGATGGCCTCCAACCTAAGGGCGATGGCCTCCACCCTACTAACT